CACCAAGAGGAGCCTTCAGCACTGGTGAGGACACTAGCCTCCTGTGTGTGACTCGAGAACTTGGTTCTCAGGCTAGTGAGACTCAGGGGTGGAAAGAAAGCCCTGCCCTGACCAACTGGCCAACGTTCTCATGACTGGGTACACCCTTTGCTGGGGAAGGGAGGCAGGCACAATTTTCTTAAGGCCCTGAGCATAGACCGGCAACTCCCCAAGAGGGCAGAGGCCCAGGCCTCTAAGGGGCTTTACCCAATTCTGCCCCGTGTCTTTCTCTTACTCCAAGCTTCCAGACAACTGTGGGACCCTGGCAAGAAGCTACACAAGGTTCCTCAGAGAGGCTTAAGCATGTAGCGTCATGTCCCTCTCTAGAAATACGTGTTCTGGCCTCCTCAGCCCTATAGAAGTTACCATTCCCAGCCACCATCATTGGAAAAACCAATTCCCAGGCTTGAGACGAATGGACTGGCAGGTTTGCTCACTCTGTGAATGCCATCTTTCCCCAAGGCCTTGGGGAGGGAAGCGAGAGGTGACGCAATGGTTCCCAGAGAGCCTTGTGAACATTAAAGACCCTTCTGCCTCCCACCACTGCCCCCCACTCCAGTTTCCTATTGAATCTAAGGATCAAGATTCATTGCAAAGTGAGGGCACAATGGTGAGAGAGCCATGAGCCCCAGGCTCAACTTTACCTTTGATTCTGTCACTTCCTGGCAAGCCAAGGGGCCTGGTCCATCACACCCATTCCGTTCACAACTGGGTTTGTAAGGTGGGGTAAGAAAGAAGTCAACTATGAGACCAGCCCTTTGAAAAATCATCTCCACATCGTGTTCTCCTTTGGTGAAGACCTTCAGTTTGCTTTGTGGTCACCACTGGCTGTTTCCATTAGACATGCACAGAAGAGAACCCAGCAGGGCAAGTCCTCCAGGAGCTGGTACTGAGCAGCACTGCTCATGGCCTGTGACGATGTTAAAAAATGGAAAAGATCGGCTTTGTTTCTTCTTTGCCTGCTGTTAGCCTAACCATGAAAGTATCTCTTTATACATAATACTTACAGATTCTAATATATATTTGTATTTCATTTTGTTATAGTATTTTTATATGTTAAAGTCAACCTCCAGTATCTTTTGATTTTCAGATGCTATGTGGCTGTGACTTTTGTTTGGGGGTTTCCTGTAGTCTTGTTTGAGTCAATTCTTAAAACTGGCTTAAAACAGTCCCTGAGGGAGCTGCACCTATCCTTTCCCCAGAAGTATTGTTTTAGAATATGTCAGTATTGTCCATTGTCTTCCGTGTGAACATGACATTGATTCACTTTCTGCCTGCCTAGTCTCTTTCTTCACCAAAATGAGTCTGCTGATACCAGAATTCACCTTCCCAGGGCAGCAAGGCTCTGGGCTGCCACACTGGCTAGTCATCACAGGCAGGCTGTCTGCTAATCCTTACGTGGCAAGGCCTGTTCATCCAGGAGGAAGGGCGTGTTCCGATCGGGGAGCCTGCTCACCTCCGTCTGTCGCCAAGTGTTTACAGTGACACTAATGTTTAAGCATAAGTCTACAGAGTCACTCACACATTTAACCAGATCCTGAAGGGTTTGGAGCATGCAGGCAACAGATGAGAAAGCAACATGCATTCTCCAGCATCCTAGGCCAGTGGATTGAGGAGGAAACATACACCAGACAAGAGATCCTTCTCAAGAGATGAATTTGAATGTGAGCATCTGGGAGGCTGGGTCCCCCAGATAGGAACCCAAAACTAAAAGGACTTCTATTGATGCCAGGGCCATGAACTGATCTCACACTAAGAACATAGCGATGTTACCAAGCCCCACTCCAAGAGCGCATGACCACCCCAGAAAGGGCACAGGGTGATGACTTCAGTGCCTGTGTAACAGTTAGGGATCTGGAGAGGGGACAAGTGCTCCTTGGCCTATAATTTCTATGGCCACTTCTGATTAAAGCTGGGTACCAACAGGGACAAACAGAAACTTCCACTGCCAGAGACTGTGGCACCTGAAGATCATTTTCCCATCTATTTGTGCCAGCTGGTTCTCATCATGAGCTAAATTTGTTAGGTTAAAACAAAACAAAGAACACCCCACACACACCAAACAAACCCCACAAAACAAAACTAGAAACCCAATCTTTGAAATGAAAAACTTAGTTTTTAAACTTTTTTTTTTTTAATCCTGAGCTAAATAAACACATCTGTAGGTTGAAAAATTGCCAAGTTCTGTGTTAATGCAAAACTTCGGGCTGCTAGTAGCTGTGGGATGGACTGGTTCTGTGAGAGACCTTGAACAGACCCACTTCCAGCAGAGACAAAAGGACCAATGAGGCAGACCACAGCAGAAATCACAGGACTGGACAGCACTGGCTGGCTTGTTCCCTCCCCTCAGGATGAACACTGGCACCTTTGCTGTCCTGTCACCTGGGATCCCTTGATGTTTCCACTATATGTGTCCCCGGAAGTCAGGCATAACTCACACCATGGCTGAGGGTTTAGGGAAGCGCACGGCAGTGCTTCTTTATACCCAGGCCCACGCTGACAGTCTGTTTTCGGCCATGTACCAGTGAGGCGGGAGGCTGTGCTGTGTTCTGTTCTCTCTCCAGTGATTACACAAACACACTTTAATATCAAAGAAGTTTAATATGCTGCAATAAAATAAGCGCCTTGAAAAAGCTCACAGAATAGATGTCAATGTCAGAGTAACCTCTCCCATATGTCCTCTAGCTCCTCACCCCACTCCCCCAAAATCAAACCAGAAAATCTTAACCACCACAGGAAATCCTTCAAGCGTGGATTTCAGTGTGGGCCCCTTTATCAATAAGAAGAACACAGTTATCTATGTGGTCCAACAGGAAAAGCAAAACACAGAAGCACAAAAAATCTACAAGATTTCAATATTTAAGAGACTTGGTACATACTCAAAGTTAAAATAACTCCAACTTTTATAGCTATACATACTGTTTTAAAGCAACTTAATATATTTTTAAATTTCATATATACACTCTCAAAGGTTCTTCAGGTGAGGTATGTAAACATTGTCTAATGAAAAATTTTCAATGTTTCAAACCAACAAATTCACAGCATACAATGAATTCTCATCCATTAAAGACAGTATTTTCCTACACTCACTAACAGTGGAATCCAGGCCCGGGAGGCACACGCTGCTCTGCCAGGTGGCCATCTGCAGCCTCTTCTCACCTCACTATGTTGGAAGGTGCTGGGGTCAGGGAGGGCTGGACTCTCTGGCAGCCCCACTCTTGGGCATCTGGAGCACTGGCTAAGACTCACAAGACAGCAGAAAGGAGGACATCCAAACACCTACAGGATTGACCTTGGCAACAACACCAGGAGGGACCAGTAAAAACTTGAGGAACGGTGGAGACTCAGCTCCCTGAATCAGAGCCGGATCTGCAGCTCCTGCCCTAAACTCATTCTGAAGGGTTGTGGCCTAATAGAAGCAAAATCCAATGTACACCTGAGCTTCAGTTAAATTGCATGGCCTCCTAGGACCCCAGGCCCCTCAAAGGCTTCAACATTAGCCTAAATCAGGGCACTGGGGGCTGTGCTTTTCATACAGGGTGGGGTTGCACTTTTTAATGTCATAATGCATATAATATATTAAGATTCTAGGGTTTTTCACGGAGATGACTAGTGTACACAGGCACCGGCCCAGGACCTTGGAGAGCTTAATTTTGAAAACCACTTGTTCCCTGAGGGTAAACAGCAGGCTTATATTGAGATTAAATGAGGCTAATGTGGGGATTTTCATTACAAAATATCAAAGACTTAGGAAACCTCTGGCCAGAATTTCTATTTCACCTCCGTATCATCTACAAGACCCCCCCCCACCATAAGTAGTCACCTTCCAACAACACAATGCAGGGAGAGTTCTTTCCTCTGCACACTTCTGGGCTCAGCAGTGGAAAGTTTAACTTAATGCACCCTCTTCAATCTAAAAAACACTAGTGAAAAATCCCAAACGCCATCAGAAATATATATATATATATATAAAAAGGAGAGAGACATTCCAAAAGCCTAAAAAGCTACATCACTTCCAACAACGTTATCTGGGTGTGGGTATTCTGTTTCATTAAGTTTGGGACGGTCACATGGAAAGGCTGCTCAACAGAGCTGGACACACTAAGAGCCGCACCAGACTCTAGGGACCATGGACATCTCGAGCTGAGGCATAGAGGCAGAAGGCAGGACATAGGCTGGCTTCTAAAGGTGAGTCAGACAGAGCGGGTGGGGGTGGGGGGATATAATAGGCCACATTTGTTTCTCGGGTTAAAATTCCTTACATTTATTCTATGGCCAAATGAGCTTTGTCTCATCTGTTCTGAAAACTTACAAGTTCCTGGGAAATCGCTAACCTTTTGATTGGCTTGTCCACTTTTGATGTATCTGGTGCTGGGAGAGTTCCCACACACACTATAGTTTTGTGAAGGAGAGCGTGAAGAAGAAACAGAAGCAACAATTCAAGTAAAGCAGCCTCTTAGGAAAGGCAAGAGGCTTTGCAAGAGCTATCCCCCAACCCGATCCTCTGAGACAACAGGACTGGTCAGCACCTGTGGTCGTATTGCTATGGAAACACATCAGAAAGAACACCTGGAAATCTGCTCTGCAGACCCGGGCACTGACCAATTTACTGTACACCTGTATATATATATATATATATATATATATATATATATATATATATATTATATAACACAACCAGATGAGAAGAGGGGCAGTTAAAGCTTGGATTGGATGGTCCATTACAGATCAAATGCCCCAAACAGCTCTCAACCTGCTGGTTTTGTTTCTTTCTCCTTGAGTGAACTGTGTTATGAAAGAAGTCCACCACTCAAAATATATTCTTTTACAATACAATGCAAACCAACATCACTCCGAACATGAGTCTGTATACAGCACATGTAATAAATATTTTTAGAAAAGCTTGAGTGAACTGTGTTATGAAAGAAGTCCACCACTCAAAATATATTCTTCTGGGCTTGGAGCCCGCCAGCCCGTATCTCCGGCACCAGCTACGCCGCGGTGGTTGTCACTATGGCCCATTACAAAGCTGCCGACTCGAAGCGCGAGCAGTTCCGGAGGTACTTGGAGAAGTCGGGGGTGCTGGACACGCTGACGAAAGTGTTGGTAGCCTTATATGAAGAACCAGAGAAGCCCACCAGTGCTCTGGATTTTTTAAAGCATCACTTAGGAGCTGCCACCCAGGAAAACCCAGAAATAGAGCTGCTTCGTCTAGAATTGGCAGAAATGAAAGAGAAATACGAAGCTTTCATCTCAAAATCAGATTTGCTTACAAACAGCATCTTAGAAAAACATTCTCCAGCATTGCTGTTCAAGTGCCTTCCTTGTTTAGAAAAGACAAAGGGAGGCCATAGGATATACACAAACTACAGTTCAAACAGATGACAATAATCCCTACATACCTGGTCTCCAAGCACCCTAGAGTCCCTGGAGTTGCAGGCAATCCTGCAATCCTAGCAGCCATGGTGACAGATGGGATGCCCATGGATGAGGCACCCGGAAAAGGACCATGCATAACCATGACTCATTGGTTCCATGACATCTAGGGTGCTCTGAATTCCAGACCAGGACTCCTGAGAAGTAAAGATGAATACATTTTAGAACCATGGGTCACAGATGGGTAGGATGGGGCTACATCTGCACAGACACTTGATGGGAAAGGGTAAGGAGGAAAGCGAAGGTGTTCCCAAGTTTTGTCAGTGTGCAGGTGACATGTGTCTCCTATGGGTGTGTGAAAGGATGGCCCCTGAATTCTGAGAGCCAGACGAGAAGCTCATACTGACAACCACAGTGGTTTCTCCTCATTGCATAGGCAAGAGGCTACTTGCCATGGGACTACAACCAAGGTCAATTCCCTGCCCAGGCTATGGAAGCGAACAGCCGAGTGTACCGATGGTGCATGTGTGAGCTGGGCTGTGGGGGGAAGCCCTGGTACTGGGCTGAGCAAAGTTACACTCCTTCAACCCCCACTTTGGTCTGAGATGGAGCATCAGTGGGAGCAGCGCTAAGGTTCCCAATCTACGTTGTGTCCTACCCAAACACAGCAAGAGTTTCAAGGCCTCCCGCCTTTACTGTGATGTTTAGGGGGTTGATAGCTGAGCAGGGGAAGCTGGGAGAACAGATGGCAAGAAGTTTTTGGAAAGCCCTTTCAACAGTTAACTAACTTTGTTAAAATAAATACTTTGTATAGAAGCATTTGAACAGGAAAATATCACTATTTACACAGCAAAATAAATTCCACAGCGGTGTGTATAAATATGTACTTTATATATTTGAAACCAGCCACTAATACAGTATCCTAGAACTAGTAAGAATGCAGAAGCCATTAATTACCCTAAGATTCAGTGGCTCTAGCAATAACCCCTACCTGTGTTATAAATATACAAAATTATGCAAATCTTATTTTTTATAGTATCTTTACCACAAATGCTTCCAAACACTACATACAGCTCTAACTACAACATGACACAAGATATACATCATGGTTCCCACCAACTGGAGTGGGAAAAAGGTGATCACTGAATGGCATTCAGACCCAACCCAGTATATACTGTGAGAATCTAGCAATGAAGAGAGAAATTCTTCTCATGTGACATGTATGTATTCAGAGAAGCACTTTGGAGGGTGTGTGTGTCCCAGAGAAGATGCCACCCACTAGGGGGCCAGTGGCATAGGCAGGAGGGAAGAGGAAAGGCAAGGTACCAAGAAGGACTCCCCAAATGAGGATCTGCTTCAGGCCTGACCAAGAGGGCCCTGAACTTGTTCTGCCTAAAGCTGCTGGTGCATGGACGAGGTGCCATCGGCACACTGGCCATGTCAAAAATGTGTGGCTTGGACTCAGGTTTCAAACACGTGAAGATCAGCCACTTACACTCACAGATAGTGACCAAACTTGAGAATTGTAAACCTGCATAAGAGAAGTGGAGGGCTATGGGTGTGAAACTACCAGTTCCCATGCTTTCAAAGAGAAGCACTACTACAGGCTGTTCCATCACTGGAGATCAGCATGTGCCAAGCACCGCTGGTGGAATGTCTCTATCGATCAAGTTCACTGTGACGCACAACAACGAGACTACATGTTTTCCAAGACCGTACTGTAAACTAGACCCTAGTAGGTGCAGTATATCCACAACTCATCAGCAAGTATCTCACGAGCTAAGATGATCTCTTTCTTCCTTACAAGCACTACCAGGAATGATGCAGCACAAATGCAACTGCGTGCTGACACAGACAAGCAAGATACCCCAAACCCAAAAGGACTGCTGCAATGCTGGCCTACATGCACAAAGAAAACGTGCCTAACTGCCCCCACAGAGATCAGTACACTGACCTAAAAGGTCAGGCACCTAAGTATTCTTAGTGTGGGCCACATATAGTTTGTTAATTGTTTTGTTATCTCCACTTATCCAATTCAAAAGTGTAAGTCCATTCATCCAATCTCTGGTGTATCCTAATACCGTGGGCACCTGGATGCTGTTTCTGGCAGGCAGTCTATGCTTTCAAGCGGCTTACAGACTGCACACACTGTCCAAGGGGATGGACCTACAGGGTGTGAAAGCTTCAGTGTCTCCTCCCTTGGCACACATGCCATGCAACTACCTGTCTGCTAGAGGAAGGGCTGGGTCCAGAGCACTGAAAGGCAGCATCCTAACATCTGGAAAAGGATGATTCCATGGAGGAGACAATGGGCTCAAATCCAAAGACAAAAGCATGAGTAAGGACAGTTTGCATACTGCTCACCAGGGTGCAAAAAATGGGATGCTGCAAAGTGGCTAGCCCTACAATCCATCACTTGTAGGTAACCAGACTCTTCAGAATTTTCAAGAGTTGAATTATTTTCAAAGCTGTCTCAAAAGGCAAGTTTCCTAATTCTGCTGGTTTTAAGTTTTTAAAAGTATCTTTTCCTTGCAAAGGATTTGGGAGCAAGCATAGGGAAAAGTACCTGCTGCGTGGATACTAGGACTGCTTTGGGAATACATGCATAGACGCCGCTTCCTATTTCAAGTGTTCTGGCATTTTAGTGAATAATAAGTCATAAGAAAATACAGGGAAGAATTCAAAACAACTGGACATGGGATGTAGCTCAGCCGTAGAATGTCTGCCTTGCTTACATCAGGCCCAGAGTTCAATTTCAGCACTGTCTACTAATTAGGGGATATGGTCTCCATTTGTTAAAACTTTGACATGGCATTCAACTTCATTCTGGAATGCAGAACAGAAACTTTTATTTGAGTTCTGGGGGGAAGGGAGGACTAACACTTTGAAAGCTGACTGGATTTGATGTAAAGATGCAACCCATAACTCCTTAGTCATACTCGGGTTAAACACGTTCTAATTCTTTTTCATTCTTTTCTATAGCAGTTCAAAAACTACCATTTTATTGTGTGTGCCTTTAATAAAACTATTTTGAAAGTGTGTGACTGAAAACAGATCAATGGTGGATACATTATAAAGAGTGATCTGGTTGTCACCAGACTTGGTCTCCATGCTGTAAGACTTTCCCACAACTACGTGTGGTGCTGAAAACTCAAAGCCCAATAGAAGCAACTCCCAGCTAATCTCACCACAGACAGTCTTGAAGCTAGGGTCAGTTCTGGTTAGAGACCATGGGAGTGAAACACGGGACAGTCCATATAATTTAAGAACTCCAAAGGCAACTTGTTCAGGGATTCTGGTCTAGAGGCTATGGTAGCTTCACTGTGGGGCTGGAGGGAGGGACTTAAAGGGAGATACACTGCTTGTTTAGAGTTGAGTTACTCTGAAACTGTCTCAACAACAAGCCTCTCTTACAAGAGCTTAAGACGAACTGAGATGGGGGGTGTGGGAGACAAAGGTATGAGGCAGAAGAGGAAAGGGGGAGATTTATTCCCAAAAGGGGTTATTTTCTCAAGCAGGGGTCAGCAGGCTTCTCCAAAGATATAGATATTAACTATTTTAGGTTTTGCGGGCTTAGTGGCCACTTCTCCAAGTACCTAATCTGTTCCATGGACAATCAATAAGCATGGTTATGTGCCAACAAACTTTATTTATACACACGAGCAGCCAGCCCACAGTTTGCATGTCTGTAACAGCTTAGAGGTAAGCTAAGAGGAGACCTGCACTGGCTGATCTGCAACCAAAGAGATGGAGTTGGCTCTCCAGCTATTGGGCAGCTTCTTGGGTTACTCAGTCTGTTTGTAGTATTATGACAAGCACAGACTTGCCGATGGCAACACCACTTCATCTCCAGTTTTCATCATATAGCATGGTGTCATTTCCTATGGGACTTATGTCTGCTAATCAATAGAAATGCTGCCTATAAGTGAGGGACAGCTGTGCCCTGACTCCAGAAGCCACCCCACGGCTGGAGACAGGCCAAATCCTGATTTATAGCATCTGTTGTAACGTGATGCTTGCTGCTGACTTATGTGCACATTGAGAAAGTCACCTGTGCTGGTGACACACAGAGGGTTCATGGGGGAAACGGATGACTCTTCTCTCCAAACCATTACAGAATGATGAGGCACAAACCCCAAAGCTTGACTGTGCTTTAGATAGGACAGTGTAAAATCTTCACCACAGAACCCCACCACTACCAAACAATGAAAAAATAAAAAACAGCACAACCCAGGGAATTCCAGAAGGCACCTGGGCAAGACTCTGAACCCCAGTGAGACAGCAGGCCCATCCCAGGGACCCTAACAGGACAGAAAATGGGTCCCAAAGCAGGCTGCACGCTGGGGAAGCTACACAGAGCGTCTCAGATGGCTTCTTGGGCATCTTCCAGATGCTGAACCGAGGGAACACCAGCCCTTTGGCTTCAACTTCAGCTCCAGCCTTAGGAAAGCCACTTTCCTAAGTTAGGGCCAGGAGCAGGATGCCTTTCAGACTTAGGATCCAAACTGTGAGACACACACAGTGGCGAGTCATATTTGAAAATGGCTACGAGAAGGAAGGAAAATGAGGAGGATGGAGTCAAGGCCAAGTGGGGATGCTGAAGGGACAATTTCCCAGCATCTGCTATGGGTGCAGAAAGGTCGAAAGCTACTGTCAAGTTTTGATTTTTTTTTCCTTCTTCTAGTAACAAAATTAACCAATTAGCAAAAATGAGCTCAATAAATGTGAAACAATTAAAAATACTTAAAATGTCCTAATTTTGTAGAGTATCCATCTATATAAATGCAGTCACTACTATCAAGTGTAAGCTGATTTTAAAGATGCTCCTGCACTGTTAGATGGATGTATAACAAACACTTCCACACAGCTCCCTCAAATGCAGCCGACCATCTTGGAGCGAGATTTTAAAAATGAAAACACAATCAGAAAAGTAATGGAATGAATTATAAACTTGGAACTGGAAGGGTCCCACTCACTCCTCCCTCTAACCTAACCCAGCACCTTACAGG